TCATAAATGTCATTCAGGAAGAAGGCGCCTCTCATTATCTGACTGAGGAAAGATCAGCATGCATTTTGCGCAAAATCTTCAGATGATCATTCTAGAAACTTCGATGTACACCAACTACATTTGCTTTACACCAAAGCTACCACAGTGAAGGACTATAAAAGTCATTACACTGAGTCGTTCAGCAATGGTACTCCACCCTCCGTGACTTCCAGATGTCTAGAAAAATATTTTAAGCAGTGTTAGAGCATGGCATTTTAGCAGGGACAGTGCAACACCACTGAGGAGGGTACAGACCAGGAACTTTCGCACTGAAACCTCAGGTTGCTATTAAAAAGTTATTCTGTCCTTGTTTCGAATTGGTCTAATAACAAATGGAAGAGGTCATTATCAGTTCGAAAGAGTGGCGACATGAATTCAGGCTATGTATTTCCTGTTGATGTACTAGCTGTTGAAAACTTCAATATATTGATATTGCCAGAATCTTGATATTTTCCATAAATCATATGGTCTGTCGTGATCATCAGTCATCTAATCAGATAATAGGTGGCATGATGAAGAGGTATATTCAGCTTTCATCAGAATGAAATAACTGCAATGGTCCCCTATATCTTGCCTTTAGGTTCGTACTTGGAGTGTCTTTCTACTGAAAAGAACTGCCTTAATGAGTTGGATGAGGTATTTTCGGAGGATGCTATTTTTCTTTCATTTCTGTATATCATTCATCAATTGTTGTAACTGCCTTTCACCTTTCTTGTCCATGAGTCAATGTCCTCCCTCCGGAGGGAAAATCGCATGATGAAAATTTTAATCATATATTTTTCGGGAGGTAATGCAAACAGTGGCTGCCACTGCCCTGTATCATTCACACAGACAAAAGTGCCTTAAACAGTGGGTAGAGTTATCTCAAGATGACTCAATATCATATAACCTCTTATTAATTGTCACCCTCATTGAATATGATCACTTTTGGGCAAGACTTCTTTTATTTCCTTCGCACGTTGTACGTTTCTCTTCCTCTAACAGTAGGGAGTGGCTTTCTCCTCTGCCCTCTCCCTCTGCACATGAGAAGTTCTATCAACCCCATTTGTGCAAGCCTCGTTGGGGATCCTTTTGCCAGTTGCGATATGCATCGTCCTATCGTGAGACCCCTTACTTTGTTTATTGGTGACACTTCGTGATTGACACATCAAAGATAGTCTTAGAAGACCCATTATTATAATTTACCTAATGTAACGTTTCAAAGACGTCCCTTGCACTGAAGAAACGGTGCTGTGATGTTAATTAATTTCAAAATTGAGTTGTTTTTATCAGGGGCTGCAAAATGGTCAGCGATTCTATCTCGACATTTCGTAAAGTCGAAAGGTCTACGTTTGAACGGTCATGCAACCGCTAACTTTGTCCAACAGATCAGCCGATTAGATAAAGTTAAAGTAAAAATTCTTCATTCGTTTCATGGCTCAGATCGCGATAGATGTTTTTCTGAAAATCCATTACTCTCCTCATACGATACTGAGTTTTTTGTGGTTGACTATCGTTAAAGAACGTAAAGAAGCCGATGAGTTGAATAAACAAACAGTC